TTATACTCTGATGCGACAACCTTTGATAAACTTGGCAAGACCTCAGAGCATCCAATCTTTTTAATGCTTGAAAATCTTCTACATTGGCTTCAGAATTCAGCAGACTCTAAGGTTCTTCTAGGTTTTTTACTCAAAGTTCAAGATATCATAGTTAACACTACTGAAAAGTTTTGAAACTTACAACATAAAATACATCATAAGTTTTTGAAAGTTATGCTTGACCCTTTGCTAAAAAAACCAGATAGGCTATATTTTGGAGTTCAAGGACGACCAGTAGCTTTTGCTGCACAAATTTCAGTCTTTCTTGCTGATATGCTTGAAGCAAATGAAATAACTTCAACATATAAAGTGTATAGCAGTAAGATGCCATGTCATAACTGCATGGTCCTGCAAGACGATCTAAACAATATGAACCTTACTTTACAACAAATAGCTCTAGAACTCCAAAAAATATGCAGCAGATTCTTAATGAAAAACGTGGAAAAGAGTTTTCTGTACATGATAATAAAAATGCTTTCTGGAAATTTTCATATGTCTTTTTTTTTGTTTTATAATCTCTAATTACAATCTTTTTTTTTAAAAAAAAAAATAAATAAAAATTTACTATAAAACAAAGAAATATAAAGCATGTGTTCCCAATCACATGCATCATATCGATCTTGGTCTGTTCAAGCGCTAATTTGATTTCACCAAAGATATTTTAAAGGAAGTCAGAGGAATAGAATTACAAAGAAGCTTTGATGACTGTCTTCGTCAGATTGCACGATTTCCTGGGTTGAAAATATTTAACAAACTAGGCCACTTAAAAGTTATGACTGCTGCTGACTATCAGAACATAATGAAGGTTGTACTTTTTGCTCTAGACGATATCTTTGATAAATGGGATCAAATAGCTTGCAACGAGCTTTGTAAGTTATATGTCAAATTTAGCAAAATATATTTAATGAGCAGAAAAGAATCATTTACCGAATTGGATCTAGAAAATTTTGAGGTATTATTACTGTAATCAGTGTTGTCAAATGTCTTGCATATTGGTAATTGTCACATCATTTTATTATATAATTTATTACACGACATAATAAATAATATATTAAATGAATGCGACAATTACCAATATGCAGGTTATTTGACAACACTGACTGTAATAGTTGATAATTATACTAAAAATTTGCTTAAATAACAATGGACATTTAATAGACCCTAATTGTTGACTGGTGTAATGAATTTAAATGAATATGTTCACCATTATCTGTGTCAGAATGCAAATTTTCCAAATTATATAGTTGGCGTTATCATGTGATCCCAACTATTAGAAAATATAGTGCGTTGAATGGTTTATCGACAGAAACCTATAAAATGCTTCATAAAATGTATATGAAGAATCCATATAGGTCTACAAATAGAAAAAATGTAATGAGCCAGTTGATAAATGCGGTAAGACTAGAGATATT